CGCCTGCAGATTAGCATGATTATGCATGTCAGTCTGTCTGGGCTGCTGGCTAAACATGACAAGTTTTTTTTTGGCACAATGAACTGTATGCAAAATATATATATATTTATTTATATATTTTTTATATTGAAAAAAATATATAAAAGTGGAAAAATATATTTTTCTAAAATTTTACATATAATTCGATATAAAAATTTAAAAACAATTTGGTATAATTCTAAATAGCAAATTATTCGTTTTTCTGATTATTTATTTATTTATACATATACCTTTTTTTTTTTAAATTTAATAGAGCATTATTTTAGGTTTAATATTTATATATTTAACAAATAATATGTATATGGAAAACTAATATGCACTTTAAATCTCAAAGAGCTGCACGCATGCAGCTAACTTTATAATTGGCAAAGGCCAAACTTTAGTTGCTGCTGCTTGCAGATATTGAGCCCCGGTTGCTGAGTACCTGATATTGCCTTCGGACTGCATAGCTGAGTGCATTTTTATGCACCATGTAATCACAGACTCTCTAGCTGTTGCCTTAGCTGCTGCTTTATTGTTGTTGTTGTTGTAGTTGTTGTTGTTGCTTTGTTTTATGCAAACTGGCATCGACTGGAGCTTTGGGATGAAAAACAACAGGCAACATGGCCGCAGTCTGACGAATACATTGCGCACCTTGCTAGGTGCACGTCTAGCTAACTGTCTGGCCTGCACACACACACACACACACTCAACCACACACAGACAGTCACACACACAATATATTTATGGTCGTTAAAAAGGGATAAAGGATACTGAAGCGCTAAGCACCAAATGCCTGGCATGGCCGAAGCTAAGCAGGTGGAGCTACGACTCCTGCTCCTGCTGCTGCTGCTGCTGCTGCTCCTGCTGCTGCTGCGCGTAGTCAACGGCAACGGACAGAAGAATTTATGGCGCTTGGAATCAGTTCGAAACTACTTAAAATACCTTTTGGCATTTTGCAGCTGAAATATATGGGGTCTGGTCGTGTGCACTCTGTACGGGCAATACCAAATACTGTGACCGTGTGCAGCAAACTATGCCATGGCATGCAGTGCTCTGTCCTGCAACTGCACTTGCCAGCTACACCACCAGCACGACCACGCCCCCGCCCCGCCCACTAGCCAGGTGAGTGGTACAAAAAAAAAATTCATTTGACTGCTTTTTGGAGCTGCTCATCTTGAGCTCGGCATGGCGACTTTGTTTTTCGTCGTTGTAGCATGTTTTTGGTATTTACTAAACTGCATTCCATTGTTGCTTCTTATACTACTCTGTCTATCTCTTTCCCTTGTCTAGCTGCTCGCTTGTTCTTTTATTATGCGCAGACATGGTGGCAGTTGTTATAATGCAGCCATAAGCATAGGTTCCACTCAAGTGTGCACCTGATTCTTTTACGTATTCTATGCTCTCTGATATTGTTGTTTGTATCTTCGAAATTCGCCTGCAGATTAGCATGATTATGCATGTCAGTCTGTCTGGGCTGCTGGCTAAACATGACAAGTTTTTTTTTGGCACAATGAACTGTATGCAAAAATATATATATCTATATAAATTTATTAAAA